TTTTACAATAATCTGGGTAAGGCCATTACATGTTGTTAAGTGTAACATAAACGATGAAAACCTACAATATGTGAATTTAAATACATAAGGAAAGAGAAAGAAACAGATCAAAAAGAGAAAGGAATTAGAGGAATAACACACGGTTTTTTAAAGTAAACGGTTTATTTCAAGGGAGGTTAATGTTGAAAATACATATAACTTCGGAGCGGAGCGGCACGTCTGTAAGGTAGCTAAGGTGCTGTATGTTTTGTTTTCAGAATTCGGTTCCAGGCGACTTTTCAACAGCACATTACTGGCGAAAATGTTTCGTTGCCTTAATGAAAGTTAAAATAGGCCTATATACAAGGGAGAAACTGTGGACTTTAGTCTTAAGCGGACTTGACCAGACTTACGGAGACTTTACCGTACTTTAAAGTCCCAAACGTTCGCCGACTTGAGCGGACTTTGTGGACTTTAAAAGATCTAAGAGGACTTTAAAGTGCGCTCAAGTCTATCAAGTCCGCAATTTCCCTCTTGCCTATATATCAAATTTAATTCTTTTCTCTATATCACTTTTATCTTACCATGCCTAAATAAAAAAATTCAATGATAATCGCCGTGTTCTCTAGAACACGTTCAAAAACCTTTGATGATTAACGCACGTTCAGCAGCATGATTAGTGCCTTCAAAGAAAAAGTGTGTTTCCTTTGTCAATTTTTTCTAAATTTTCCCGACCACTTATTAAGTACACACAATTTCTTACTAAATAATACCTGAATCACACATGTCAAAGCGATTCGATGTGATTTTATCAATACATTTACAAAATTTGCAGATTTAGTACAAGAAATCTAGACATTCTATCATGTTCGTTGTTTGTTTTTGTTGTTGTTCCACAGTAGGACATTATATGATAAAACAAAACTCATGTTCAGAATCAATCTATTCCACTGGCAAGTGCAACAGTAACCATACACAGCAAGTGTTAACGATTGGAAAAGCCGTATCGTTGTAATTTAAAAATGTGGCTTATCGAAGTTTTACGTAAACTTGTGACGGTTCCAAACGTCGGGTTTCTGAATTGTAGAGTGTACAATGGGGCACTACTTGTTTCTTTATTAGAAGACGCTTTTTTTACGTGCTTTTGAAATATTTCACCTAAATTAGACACTGCATAATTCATTCGTGATGGGTGCAGATTAATCGGAAACCATACCATTGTGTACTCTTCTCCATTTAACCTTATGAGTTTGATCTTCATATCTACTAATTCTTTCAAACGTTGACTATATCCTACTAATTCATAGCTTTAATTTCACAACAAACGAGTTTAATAAAGATGCATGGTTCTTATGCAATGCTTTCTTCTAAATCGAATGGAAAGAATGACGTTCATGTTACGAAAAATAGCCGAAATGTTTGGAAAAAGATTTGAATTTTTACGTTGCTTTTTGATTTCATACTTCTAGTTTAGATACACTATGATCAACGACAGATCTTATGTTCGCGTTCACCAGAGCCGGTTACATATAATCCAACATATTTCATAAAAAAACTAATTAAACAGTTATGGTTTATGTGTTTAAAAATGAACTTTTCTGAACAACATTCTTACAGTCTCTAAATATATTCATCAACACAAAAAAATGAAAGGATGAATATTAAAATTTATACTTTAGATAGATGCGGTCATCTTTATGCTGTAAATAGTGGTGGATCCAGAAAAAATTTTCGGTGCTGGCGGATTTGTACAAAAGATAGTCAGTAGATTGTATACTCTCCTTTCTTACTGTTTTTAATATCTTTATAATAAAAACACAATCACTCAAAAGTTCTATGCGCTCGGCATGTTGCACAAAAAGGAGAATATAGTAGTATAAAATCAAAAATTTCCGTGCTTTTCCGCCAGTATCCTAAATCCGCCAAAGGCTCTAAAAACCATTTAACTTTTACTTGTGACTGAAATGCTTACTTTGCCGCTGGTGTTTAACATTTCATTCTTCCTCCTCGTTTAAACCGATCTAACATCATCATCATCGTCAAATTCATCGTTATTCAGCAATTGTGTTTTAGTTGTTTCAATCTCAAGAAAATAATTTAAAACGGCAATGATTGAAAGGCATAAACCAAATATTATACAACCAATTAAATCAATAAACAATTCAAATCGAACATCATCATCTGTTATTATTGGATAAGACTGAAGTGTGGTGGTACTATAGAATGTTGCTGTCATTTATATGTACAGTTGACAACAAGACAACTATTGAAAGTATAGCTTTTTTTCAATCATCTGCGCGCTATATAAATAAAAAAGATGACTCACGAATTATTCATTTCATACTGAATTAATCGAGACGATGACTCGAATCGAAAAGCTGAACAACAATTCATAACAAAAAGTCTGAGTCGGCATGTAAACGCTGTTAAATTGTGTGCTCTGCGAAATCTTAGAATAAAAGTCTGTCACAAAAAATTCTACTGCCATACTTGAAAGTAATTTTATATTGGTAACAGCTAATCTAAGTGTTTACCTCATTTCTGTATTACATTCATGTGCAGCTTTACTGTTCTGTTCCACCGCGCTGTGAATTTATTCACTTTTGATTCATACATGGGGAGAACAGGCTCTTGGTTTGTCCACAAGACATAAGCAGCGAGAAAGAAACATGGGATGGCGTATATTAAAGTTTGCGCTATATTTATCCCCATATCTTACGAATTGTACGTACGGTTTGAGCTCAACCGTTCTTGAAATGTATAGGACTTTTTATGATACGGTTAAACTTAGATTAAGATGCCTCATGTTACTGCTTTAAGACTTTTTGTGATACGCCGCTGATGTTCTTTTTGTTGTTACCATATAGTTTCTCACAAATGTCGATTGCGAAGAGCATAATTCGATTTCTTTATCCTACTACAGAGCATAATTCGATTTCTTTATCTTGCTACAGAGCATCTTCTGCTGAGAAAAGTTCCAGATGCCACTACACTTAACTATTACATACTTATTCAAGAAAACCCCACTCGATCTCTTACACATCTCACTGATTCTAACAAGTTATTTGTTTCAAAACCCTATTCAACTTTGTGCACCATACATGCGGAAACATCGTGGAGGCATCGACATGTTGAATAGTTGGTTGCAGCTATAAACAAATTAAAGCTAAATTAGTCTAAACGGTAAGGTACGTTTGCTTGGACAGAAACGCGAAGAGTCAGTAACTTGATAATTGCAGATCGACAGCTAATAAAAAGATGACTCGTGCTGACGACCACAATTAGAGGTATTTCCGAAAAACGATCGAAGCGTGCTTGAATTACCTAACCAGCGTTTCTAATAAGAGAGTGAAACAGAGCGTGCAGTACTCTAACGAATATATTATATAATTTTACACCGTGTGAGAAAAAACAGAGTGTACACTGTCCACTCTGAATTTTTAATTTATATTTTGTTTTTTTGCGGGTTTTTTGCTAATTTATGTAGAAAATATAGCGTTTAGCATGGAATGTGATTTTCGTTTATACTCTGTACTTGCTGTGTGATTTTTAATATTTTAATAAGTTAACGACAGCCATTTTTGAATAATATTTATAGTTAATGTAGCTGTGTATAATTTCATTGCTTAATTAAACAAGCATTGTTTTTAATTTCAATCGCTCGCTTGTTCGTGAAATCAAATGAGATGAATATTTCTGCAATGATGTCATTTAAAAGTTAGTCATCTCTTTTGTTCTTTTATCATCCACTTGACTACATAGATGTATATAGAACAGCTATACAGTTTCTCTGCGGTTCATGTTTTACATCATTTGATAAGGCTCGAATAAATAGAACGAAATATTACGACATAATCTTTTGTATTTTGGTGTTATGAGACTTTTAATCTTGGTGCACTTTATTCTGAAAAACAGAGTATATGCGTAGACTTTCGGCACATTGCACCATTGTACCAGTGCATTTTGACTCTAAATTCTCATTAGAAACGCTATAAAACTCTTTCAATCTTGAGTTGAGAGTACTTGCACGTGTAATAATGATTGGAGTGGTTATCACCGTAATTCGTCTTTTTATTAGGTATCAATGATCAAATTACCAGTGCCCAATAGAAAGAGAACGTTTGTTTTAGCTAATAGTTGCTTACAGACAGAAAATGAAGAAATTAAACGGATTCATAGTATCTGACCTATTGTCGAAGTGCGTCCGCTATTATACTAGTGCTCTGAAAAATCATTTTTCTTGATGAAATTCATTGGACCGATATTTCAAAACAAAAAGACAGTTAAATACGATTCACTTGTTTTATTTTTTTGCAAACGAATCGTTTGGTTAGCTCTGCAAAACAGTGTTCGTTAAATCTGAAAATTTTCCTACGTAGCTGAACGTGCCCTACAATCTGGTTGTATGCTAAATGTAAAGTATATGGTGAATCTTTTGAGATTTGATCTTTGAAGACCGGTTGCTAAAAATGTGAGCACAAATGAAGATCAGATTCGCGATCCACATAAGAAATAACCTGTGAAAATTTATTCTCTAGTGGAATTAAGGTGTTTCGCTGGAAAGATTCTTTTGTTAGTTCAATTGTACTAATCGACCTGTCTACGTAACGGTCCACTTTTCCTTAAGTCAGTCACGTTTTGTCAACATTGTGATTCTGCGAGGAAAGCTCGGAGACGTCTCATTTTGAAGAGCAAACATTTTTCTTTAAAACGATAATTAAGCGAAAGTTAATAGTTGGCCCCACGGTCATATACAGACTATAAACTGAACGGCTTATTCGCAAATTGTGGCATCTGTTTCAAAAAACTTTATCTTGAAATCCATTCAGTTACCCACGTTTGCTTAATTATCATTTTAAAGAAAAATGTTTGCTCTTCAAAATGAGACATCTCCGAGCTCTGTGAGGGCTTTCCTCGCAGAACCACAATGTTGACAAAATGTGACTGACTTACGGAAAAGTGGACCGTTACGTGAACAGGCCGTAATGCTTGTTTCTGTTTGTTTCAGATCTCTCAAAATCATGAGCAAAGAAGAACCTCCGTCTAGTTGGGAAGAAGCTACTTTTGATGAAGCAAAATTTGCTAAACTAAATGTGAATGCTGCCGTCTTTGTACCATTTGGTGTGCATACTGAACAACCGTCTGTTCCTGCACCAAAACCTATTCAACCACAACAACAAGTACCTGCTTCTTCTGCTAGTGTTCGTCCACCGGAAACTTCTCTGTCCACATCACTCTCATCTCGACAGCAATCAGATGAAAATAAGCAGCAAACAACAACGACAAATGTCGCTATAGGGAATAATCTATTAGAAAATAATCAACACGAAAATGATATTAGTACAAAACAACCAATAACAACAACACAACTGAATGACCAAGAAATAGAAAAAATTGGCATCGATGAAGGTGAAGGAGCGAGTAAGATGATTTTAGGCACGAACCATCATCTTCATTGAGATTAATCTTGCATATAGATTCTGAAGAAGAAAGCGTCACTTTGTTTTTTTATTTTAGAGTTGGAGGATGATAGTGAAATGATTATGAATGAAGAAACAGGAGATACTAGTGAAAGATCAACAATAACAAAACCGCCCAAAGAGAAAAAAATTGTCAAACGTGACATAATTCGGAAAAAAGAACCTGTTAACATAGTATTTTGTGGGCACGTCGATGCTGGAAAGTCAACCATTGGAGGACAATTAATGTAAGAAGCGCCAGTAACTGTGACTATTCGCATCGTTATCGATGTCATGTTTTTAGGTATTTAACGGGTCAAGTTGATAAACGAACATTAGAAAAATATCAGAATGAAGCACGTGAGAAGAGCCGTGAGTCTTGGTAAGTGTTGTGTGATAACTACAACGTGAAGCTAATAATATCGCTAGTTTCTTTGGCACAGGTACTTATCTTGGGCACTGGATACAAATGAAGAAGAACGTGATAAAGGCAAAACGGTTGAAGTTGGTCGGGCATGGTTTGAAACGGAAAAAAAACACTTCATTATATTGGATGCACCTGGGCATCGCTGTTTTGTTCCCAATATGATTGGCGGCGCGTCACAGGCCGATATTGCTATTCTGGTAGAAGGGGAAAAGTTGTTGATCTTTTGATATTATTTATTTTCCATGTTTTTAGGTGATATCAGCTCGAAAAGGTGAATTTGAAACGGGTTTTGAACGTGGCGGACAAACACGTGAACATGCCATGCTAGTTAAAACAGCTGGTGTAAGATATATGGTCGTATTAATAAATAAAATGGACGATCCAACCGTGAACTGGGACGAAGCTAGGTAAGTTTGCATAACGGTCTACAAGAGAAAGAAAGTGTTGTGTGGTCTGTCTGTAACTTCTTTCTTTATTAGATATGAAGAAATTAAAGAGAAACTAACGCCCTATTTGAAAAAATGCGGTTTTAAACCAGGTGAGGATACCGTGTTTATGCCTTGTAGTGGAATGAGCGGCGCGGTACTCAGAGAACATCCAGGTGAACAGATTTTATCGTGGTATCAGTAAGTTTGTTGTTGTCACACAAATGTAGTTCTTTAAAAATGATGTTAAAATCTTTTTAGTGGGCCAACATTTATTGATTATTTGGATGGTTTACCGTCGTTTAATCGAAGCATCGATGGACCATTTCGAATGCCAATAGTTGATCGATATAAAGTTTGGATCCCTCTCTCTTTCTCTTATTGTACTATAATTATTGTTTTTCATTAAGGATATGGGTGCTATTGTTATGGGTAAAATTGAATCGGGTTATATTCGCGTAGGTGATAAATGTTTTGTGATGCCCAATCGTCAAAAAGTTGAAATAACGAACATTTATTATGAAGATATTGAAACGGATAGCAGTATTTGTGGTGAAAATGTCAAATTAAAATTAAAAAATATTGAAGAAGAAGTATATAGATAGAAAGACGTCAAATATCTGTTGCTTTAACGATGTTTATTTCGTAGGAAATTTCACAAGGATTTGTTTTGTGTGACATAAATGATGTTTGTCAAGTCGGAAAAGTATTTGATGCTCAAGTATGTTGAACGACCACGTTCCATTTTGTTTACACTACTAATCTTTTTCTCCCTCTTAGATTGCTATTCTTGAACATAAATCGATTATATGTCCGGGTTATTCAGCTGTGTTACATATTCATACAGCCGCTTGTGAAGTTCAACTTAAAGTAAGTGCTGAACTTCTAAGAATAGTGCGTTTATTATCTAGAAAGATTTGTCAATTTAGATGATAATAGCATTAATTGATCGTAAAACAGGAGAACGTAGTGCACAACATCCGCGTTTTATCAAACAAGATCAAGTGGCAATAGCTCGATTTGAGATAAATCAAAATGTTGCGTGTATGGAACCGTTTAAAAAATTTCCACAACTAGGACGTTTTACCCTAAGAGATGAGGGGAAAACGGTGGCTGTTGGAAAAGTATTGAAAATTATTGAATGAACATCCTTTCATTTATCTGTTTGTTAGTTGTTGTTGTGCTTGATCCGGATAAGATTGAAATGGATTTCGAGATATATATGTTCGCTGTTTATTATTTCTCACTCTCTTCACTGTTAATTTCTTTTTTTTATTTTTATTAACTTGTTGTCATGCTTTTATTCCGAAAAAAAAGACCTGAATCTTCTTTTTCATTTTCTCTTTTTTGTGTTCGGTTGTTATTTGATGAGAAAACGTTTCTTATAAAAGCATATCTGAGCATGCAATTACAGAGCAGTCTTTAAGTTCGACCCAACGAAATGTTTTCTTCTTCATTGCAATTTGTAGAGTATATCGAGCTACATATGTTATGAAGAAATTTCTTAAAACAGGCACATACTGGCTGAGAAATGAGTTGTTTCAATGTTGAAATGTAATTAAAATTTGCAATAGAGTAGTCCTCTTTAGAAAACATTTAACTGAGCTATTAACAGTCATAGAACTGTGATTCAAGTACCGTTTGGTAAGAAATTGATTGTGCTTAACAGTTGGTCAGAAAAAGTTGCAGTTCAATGTTGTTTTCAGGAGAAATAACATTGGTAATGAACAACGCTGAATGTTTGCCGAATGTTTGTTTCTGGAAATAATAACGGAAGAGGCACAAATAGAATGTAACACTTCAGTTAGGTGGTCAGGTAATTGTATTGTGCCATCCCAGTGAGGGCGATCATACAGTCTGATTAAAAGGGCTTGTGATTGAACGACTCAGGGCTAATAAAACAAGTTTCAAATTTTCTAAGTCTCAAAAGCTGGTATTCGCTTGGAATTAAAAGAAGTATTAAACTCTTTGCAAATCAGTTTTAAGTTTTCATCAAATATCATCACATTCGGCCAGACTGGTTATGTCCGTGGGATTTGACCAGTGTGGCTGGATGTCTCAATTCTTTTTTCATCATGCAGGTTCTATAATATGTCAGAAAATATATGATTTTTTAATACCAGTTATAATTCTCGTGTAGTGGTGATGATTTGTTGTTGTTTGGATTGTATATCTTGTCCAAAACCAAAATAATGAAGTGGCTTCGTTAAATCAAGTATGAATCAAGTATTCATCGCATGCGGGATATTGATGTGAGAACGAGAGAATATTAATATTCGACGAAGACTAGCCTCTTTGACAGTGATCTGCGTATGTTGAAGTTGTCCGTATACAACTGCAGATGTGTTTGTCGCTAATTATTTTTGAGGCAGACTTCTGATGTATTGTTAATTATTAAGTCTGTCTACAAAATTCATGTAGTCGATAAACATTAGTACATCCACAAATCTCGCCACTATTTTGGAGCTAGCACAATATTGAACGTGCATATTGTGAAATTGGGAAGACCGGAAGAGAACACCAAAAGTGTCAAGCAAGAGTTATAATGAACGAATAAGTTTGATAAAAGTGCATTTTACCGAAAGATTTTATGAAGACATCTGATTATTTTGGTTTCAGACAAGATATATAATCCAAACAATAACAAATCATCAGCACTAGACGAGTGCTATAACTGGTAAAAAGAATCATATTTTTCTGATATATTATATAAGCTGCATGATGAAAAAAGAATTGGGACATTCGGCTAGACTGGTCACCTCCACATGTTCAAAGCTAGTTTCATATCTTTTATCTGCAATTAACTATTGAAATAAAAACGCAAGTTCAAAGTAGTTTCCAAAACATAGATCAGCACTCGAAAGTTCTGTTAGCCATAGACATAATTTTTTCGCCACTTGAATAAACATTCTTTCGATTGTATCGAGATTTATTATAATCGCATTGGTTTTTCCTCTGAGATATAAAATCTTGATCAACGTTTTGTGGTGACAGTGAAAAATGGTCTCAAAATTGACAAAAAAGGTGCCATATGGAAACTTTCGCATGTAAAACCATGTCCAACATGATTTTTTCCAAACTCTATCTGGATTTTTACTTATGTGTCTTAGAAAATACAAAGCAAGAATACTTTCACGTTATTCGGAACTTTTCAAGTTTCATCGAAAGACTGATATTATATAAATCACAGATTCGTTACGATATTTATTTTCTCGTATGACTCATTCATGCATTATTAAATTAAATTACTCTTTTGATAATTAATGAAGTGTTGGGTGCATTTTTAGAAGACTTCTTTTTATTTGAAGGTGAGATCATTTACTCATAGCATATGCTATGAGTAATGCAGATGGCGTTTAGGTCGACCTGGGATAGATCTTTTTCATTTTATTCACCAATTTTCATAACAATCAGTCTTCAAAAAATTGATCAATCAAATTTCTTTCCTTTCTTCATTCATCTATATGAAAGCGACCATTTTTGGCAGCTGCTGTTAGCAGGTAACTTCTTTCAACCGCCATTTTTTATGGAAAAAATTAATGGCTAATGAAACAATTTGCTCATTAATCTTTTGTATCTATTTCTTGCTTAGAAGATCGACGGTTCCAAATAAAAGCAGAATCAACAAATAAAAACATTCAAGTTTGTTTTTCTCACTGCTGTATGAACAATGAATGATGAAGATGATGATGATTTTTCTTCATTTTTTTCTCGATCAATTGATCGTATATTTGAAAATTTTGAACGTTTTTTTCTGGGTGGCTTCTCGATGCCTTGGTCGGCTGATGGCGGTGGACACGTGTTTATTTTACCAGAGCCAGGAGTTCGTAGTGACGACAATCAAGAAGAAAATAGCTTACGTGATCAGGTGTTGAAAAAGGATTCATCATCAACAGCATCGAATCTTCCATCATTTTTTGATTCAGTTTTTAATCAGCGTTTACCTAACAATAATAGCGAAGATGAAAATTTAGATTCAAAAATTGAACAACATGGTTTAAACAGTGCATTGATTGATCAACAAGATCAACAACAAAAGTATGTTTACAAAAGCAAGTAGTCTATTTTTTGCGCGAGAATATCTTTCTCTAACAATAGTCTGTCTTGATGCTAATAATATTGATTATTTGTTTATGTTTTTAGTCCGTTCTTATTTTCGTCGTCTGCATCATCCATGTCCATCACAGGTCGTACGACACCATCTGGTTGTTATGAAGAACGTCGTGTTAAACGTGATTCAACCGGTGTAGAAGAAATTACAACAACAAAGCGTTGTGGTGATAAATTTTACGGTGTTGTATCGAAAAACGGTAAAGTTATTCGAGATTATGGTAATAGTACTAAAGAAGAACTGGATCAAATTGATATGACGACTACGGTACAGGATGATGAGGATGAGGATGATCAACCGCCAGTATTAGGCGGAGATAATCGACAGTCATTTTTTAGAAAATTGTTTGGTGTATGAACAATGAATGTGTATAATTATGTAATTAGTTTTGGATTATTGTTTTGATATATAAAGAATCTAGCTAAAAGTTAGCATCTATTTTTGATCAGAAGGAGAAAAAATGATAAAAATAAGGTACATGATGTTTTTTCCCAATAAGATCGAGTCATCACATTCGACACTTTCAGTATGTCGTACAGATATTTGATTTTGTTAAAACCGATTATTTTAATTTAGTTTGACTTCGTATACGTTAAATTTCCATTACCATGAAAAAGAAGTGATTTAGAAACAAAACTTGGGAGGAACTTTGCGTGCTGTTCGACTTCAAAACATTGTCCTGCTAGATTTTTTGTGTCATACATTATTCGGTGCAGTTAGATGCTGATCTAATGATACCATTTTAAAACAACCATGTTCACTTTTCACGAAATCATTGACCACTGCAGTGGTCTACTTGTTGAATGGTATGCATGGTTTAGCATTACTTTCAAATATGTCGTCATGAATATTCCTTGATTACTAGAATCGTTTGTACTCTGTGCAAAATAGCTGTCTATTCCATCTAAGAAGAAAAGACACGTTTTTTTTAAACACTATAGTGGTGTTTCTTCCCCCACTGATTTCATTTTTAGCCGATTACAAAGAAATTATCGACAGTCATATTTTACTATTTTCCCATTCATCTTTTACCTGTAAAATTTGTTTGCTTTATTCCATCGCATAATTTTTGCTTTGTTTTTTTAAATAAGTGTTCAAATTTAATAAACAAAAAAAAACAAAAAAACATCAAATTATTTACAACTGGTTTGTGCTGTGCTGATTATCTGCTTGCTATATTTAATCTGAATCTGAATTTGAATTTGTTGCCTCCTCTTCGCTTTCTTCGTCTGATGAATCTAGAAAAAAAATATCAATGTTTGAAGAGCGTGATAAGATTAATCATCCGCGGTTGTGACAAAGAGTTCTTGTATTGATAATCACCAAACTCAAAATGTCAAAAGCGATCTACCTTCTTTGTCCAAACACAAAATCGTTAGATAATTGAAATATAATGCATTTTAACAAGGTACAGAAATATTATGACCGACGTTTGTTGTGGTTTTACTTACCCGTACTTGTTTCGTCTGGATCTTTGGTTTTTGTAAATTGTGATGAGGTCAAGGCCGGTTGTTGCTGTGCTGGATGAGGTTGTTGACTATTTAATATATGTGAAGTGTTCGTTTTTGAAGTAACAATTGTCCGCGATGATTGTGCTGATGGATATTGTTTTGTTATTGTTGATCGTGACGGCGTCGATTGTGTAATTGTTTGCAATTGAGCATGGCTGTTTTGCGGTGTTGATGTTGTCGGTAAAGTTTTTGCAATTTTTTCTAACACTTGATTACGTTCTCTACGTTCGTGATCTTTTGATGTATTTTGAACAATGTTAACCGTTGAATCTGTATCCTTTAGATTATATTTTCCTCCTTTTCGAATTATTTTACAACAACAGTATCCAATACTAGTTCTCAAAGATGATAATCCACGTATTTGCGAATCTTTAATGATAGTTTCAGAAGTCATTTTTTTCTTTTCTTCTAGTAGAAAAAACTTGAACGCTGTCGATAGGACGTGTTGTAAAAAAAGAGGAACATATGCACGTCATGCTCGATGAAACAAGGTTATAATCCTTGAGAAAAGAAGATAACGTGTATTATCTCCCACTCATCGCCCATAGTATGTACGTACCATAGGTTTTTTCAAATCTTTTATCTTGAATGAAGGTAAAAGACAGCTGTTTACGTCCGTCTCAATATCAAACCATAAAGCCTATAGTTTAATTAATTTTTCTAACAATATAAGCAGGAGAACGACTTAATGATTCCAACTGACGGAACATAAAAAGCAGTTGAAACTATCCGCATATTTTGTGATTCAGTTTCTACGGAGGCAGTTTTCAACTAAAATTTGAACGAGCAATAATATAGTATCGATACATTATAATCCCAGGACTCCATCAAATACAATTAGTTTAGTAGTTTACTGCAAAGCTAAGTTCATGTGTTCAAATCTGTTATTCATACAAAATTGATTTTGTGTCTTTTTTCCGAAAAATTGCTCAGCAGATGAGTTGTCACTTGAACGTTTCTACAGATATTTAGCATTGAAAACACAGTTTACTCGATAAAATGAAATGCGATGGATGCTAGACAAGATTTTTACTTTTTGTTGAAAATAATCGTTTATTGGAATAATTTTCTTTATTCTTCAGCATATTTTGTCAAGCGTAAAGCTGACAACATCACAAAACCACGGGTATAAAAATAGACATTTTTCCCTTTTAGAGGTATATCATTTCGTGGTCATTCAACTAATTCGGTTCATTGCTGACGAAATGAGAGTGTGCATAACGCAATTTTTTTTAATCTTCATTAAACAGAAAACATATTAAAATAATTTAAGGATCCCCCCCTCTTTTTTCATCTTGTCGCCAAATGCGGAGCACACGTCCGATTGAGCTCCAATTTGTGGCAGTGATAGAACATCGATGTATTTTTGCCCAGAATTTTCTGAGGTGTTCTATGGGTTTTCTGAACTTCAGTGCTCGACTAATCGGGTCACATTACGGCTCTTCGAAAAAATGGTCACAGATACTTCAGACCCTATCTCAGAATGTAAATTTTTTTTCAAAAAAATATGCTTTTCTTCTCGAGATATACGAAAAATGCTGAAAATCACGCAAAACAAGTCAGATTTTTTCAGTTTTTTTCACTGGCTTTCAGCATTTTTCATGTCTCGACAACGAAAGCATATTTTTTGGAAAAAAAATGGTTCATTCTGAGATAGAGTCTGAAGTATCTGGGGTAAAAGTTTGAGCTCGATCGAACCATTTTTTCGAGGGGCCGTAATGTGACCCGATGAAAACTGCAGTTTTCAAGAAAATTCATATAAGAACCTCTCAGAAAATTCTGGGCAAAAATACATCGATTTTCTTTTTCGATGTTCTATCTCTGCTATAAATTGGAGCTCAATCGGACATGTGCTGCGCTTTTGGCAACAAGGTGAGAAAAGAGGGGGTATTCTTAAACCACAAAGAAACAAAGTCACGAAAGATTATTTGGTACTATTCGAGCATGTAGATCGTCAAACTTTAGCTTGTCTTAAGTCGTACTATAGTTAGCCTCGTAAATATAGCTAGAGTTAACCGTTTCAGAATGAATTAATATCATTTTTCTGTTTGATTGAAAGTAATATGAAAATGATGTTCTATCATAAATATATTAGATAGATGCTGATTAACACCGTCGTATATTATAAGTGTGTCGAGAAATAACAATGATTATTTCAGGCTAACTATAAAATACACAGTGCAACATTGAAGCCCGAAGACAAAATTTTTCAATTTATATTTTGTAAAGAATAATAGTGAAAACTTTTTGAACAACCAAATATAGATAGGATAGAATAGGATGCTTTTATTAATATGAATATCATTGAGAAATAATTTTGAAAAAAATTTCTATATCTGTAACTACTGGAATCAACTTCTAGAAATTGATCTTTTCTCATCGTACAAATCGTATTTTTGTGTTTTAAATCGCAGATAATCAATCTCCGTTCTATATAACTTTCATAGATATCTATGGTTAATATATTTTATCACATTTGAATACAGAGACGCACAAAAAGAATAAATAAATACGAAATAAAATCTACGTACAAACAAGAAATGACAACATGACAAAAAATTGCACAAAAATGATGTTCAGAATGAGAAATGTCAAAATTTTGACGATGTGTTTTTGTTCGCTAAAATGATTTAGGATGTCAAAATCTTGTCAATTCTGAAAGAGTGAAAGAGAATGTCTTTAAAACTATGCTATCTCAAGAAAGTCTTCTTTTCATGAGAATATCTGCGAATAACCTTCCAGCTGTATCAGATAACTGACAAGATTTTGAAATCTTTAATTCAGAGAATAGAAACAGATCCTTAAAATACCACTTAAGGCGCAAAGAAATAAAAAAATATTTTGAGTCGTTACTTAATAAATAAAAATAAATACTTGAATAAAATGAAAAATATCGAATCAATCATAATATTTTCTATGTTCATTTATACCAAATAATTTTCGACGTATTTCCGGTAATATTTGCTGAAATATCATATTTAAACGAGCTTCAATTGTATTTGCTACTTTTATTTTACCCGTTTGTGCATACAATTCAACACCTCCAGCTCTAAATAAAAATACAGACAAATGATCGTCGAAACTCGAGATCTCGCACATATTTTTATCGTTATAAAATTATAAATTGTGTCTAGTAGATAAACTATCAAGCACAGAAAAAAACTTGAGAAACGACTTTATGAATACTCACAAATCGTGATTTAAGAAGTTTTTATCATCGATCACGCATTTAATTTCTCGATTATTAAATTCTTGTTTATAACGTCTAACTGCATCGGGTATAAGACTCTAAAATGCAAACATTAAAAGACAATTCAAAGTACATGAACTAAAAATATTAAAAATGAAAAACATTTGCAATAACATTGACTCGTGACATTACGAATTTTATTTTCTCATCTTCTTAACTCAGTAGTTTAGACTTACCTGAACAAGCTCGAAATCTTGTTTTCTGCATTTGACTTGTACATCTGACTCCATTAATATAAACAAACCTTGTGCAATTAAATTTGCTAATATAGTCGAATACTTTTGTTTATCTTGTGCTAGTAAAGCCAATTGTTTACGTGCTTCTTCTTTTAACGTTTGAATATAATCATCACGAGCTTTCAACACGGATAGACGTGACTGATTCAATAGATTCGAATGTTGACTAGAAAAATAGAAAATGAGAACGAAATAAGTTAATTATTTGTAACATATCATTCCGATCTCTTAGATCACATACATTTTTCGTTGTAGTTCAATTTGTTTCTCTTTTTTGTCATAATATTCCATTATTTTAATACGCTGTTGCGAAACAAGGCGAGATTTTTCAATATTAAACTCTTCTTCAGCCTAAAACACATACAAAAATGATTTCATTTTCACGGGAAAACCTCTTGAATGTCGATTCAGTTATATTTATATTTAGTTAAAGACGACACGCTCAAATGTGTATTGTATCTTTATTTCTAGATCCAACAAAAGCAAACTTACTTTTGCTTCAATTTCTTCAACTTTTTCGTTCGCTTCTTGTTGAATAAATGCGATCATATGTTGAATCTACAGCAGAGAAATAGAAACATGAAAATTTGACAGATATTTATAAAAATCAAAGAATTACCTGTTTTGCAACGTCAGTTTCACTTAAACCCATAATTTCAGACTTTCTTGAATAAATTACACAAATAGTATATCTAGAATGTATTCAGAACAGATCTTGACAAGACACCACGGATACGTTAAAATGTGAAAAACTCCAATATAGTTTGCTGAACAACAGATGTAAGATGAATTTAGACAATTCTGGTTTTCCAACGAGAAAGGATGCGTATACATCTTGAACTTCGAAGGAACTGTCTGGTTCGCAAATTTTGGATGAACTGCGTATGCAGGAAAGTTGATTAAGAACAGCACTGATACTTAAGCCAAACAAAAACAAAAAATTGCTGTAGTTTCTGGCAATATCAATAGATTAGAAACAGAATATGAATATATGTATTGAGTATGTAACTTCGTGAAACAGAAGCTGTGAAATTCTATAACAATTCTGTTATTTTAAACAGAAAAAAAATGTTGTTTCTATACCGCAAAGCAAAAATAGACCCCACGAGTTATCAGGTTTACCTCGATTTCACAAATCAATCATTGACACATTTTCACGTTTATTCAACGACAAAAAACACAACCTGAACAAAAATCCTAAGTTGTTGTTACTGCTGTTAAGAACATATACAGGCAAAAAGATAGAATAAACAACATACAAAAAGAAAAATTCTCCCTTTCGTTTTTTCCTTTTACAGAACATGATTGATAAGAAATGAAATGTTTTTGAATGTACAAGAAAAAGAAAAAATCACATGAATAAGCGAACCAAAGAACAAATTCGTTGGTACTAATCAAAACAAGGGAAGGAAAATGAAACATCCAGGAGACAGTCAGATTCATTGAATGACAAGAAGGGTTAATTTGAATTCTTCAAAACACCATTATTCTAAAAGAAAAATAGCAACAAATAGTTCCATTACAACAACAAAGGATTTATCAAGTAAAAATATAAACGAATAGCTATTGTTAGTGCACGTCGAGTAAATTCAGCATACCTTGTAAGAAGCAGAAATTATTCATAGCCGAGAAGAGACTGTAGCTCACTGAGAGATTTTTACGTGGCTACTAAGTATTTTCGAGTTAATAAACAGGAAAAACAATCACTATGACCATTACTATCATATACCTCATTCAACGAAGAAGAAAAATGTTTTTTTAAATCAATTTGTATCAACCATACCTCTAAAATGAGAAAAAATTCTTATAAACGCTGATATTATCTCTTAAATACAAATTTTACCTTGATCGTGATCGTGACTTTTCTTGACGTGACTCATGTCGAGGCGAAAATGAACGATCACGTGAAAAACTTTTTTCACGACGGCCACCACCACGGCTAGAAAAATAAAACAATGTAGGTCAAATCAGAATTTTTTTTTCATATTTTCGTTGTTTTACCTTCTACTTCTACTTCTTGATGATCTACGTCGATATTCCCCTCTTCCACCACCGAAACCCTAGAATGGTCAAATCAGTAATAAGGAGATATAAGGGAGATTCAATTATATTGTAACTTACACCACCACGTCCGCCTCGACCTCCTCCTGGTGGTCCACCTTCTTTTTCACGTGTACGCATTTCAGATGGAGCTAAAATACATACGAAAAATTTGTTAGTTGTTTCCTTTCTTGATAAATGTAGAGCGTTGCTTACTTTTTCGATCTCCTCGTGCAAACTCAATTTCTAATTCTCTGTTATGTAAACGATAACGATCTAAATAACGCATGGCGTCTTCAGCATCTCTTGGATCTTCATATGTACACAAAATAAAGTTAAGGAAATAATAAATACCAACAAAACAGTAAGAGCTAACAAAAAACGATCAAGTATCTTTAATAAAAGGATATTCAATAAAAGCGAATCCTTTTGGATCACGCGTGTAATAATCTAACGGCACTGTAATATCCACAATTCGACCATGTTTAGCGAACAAACGTTTCAAATCTTCATATCTAAACAAAGAAAACAAAAGCTCATTATCTTTGATATTAAAAAAATGTTAGATTCAGTGTTCCTATTTCTTCTGTCTGCTGGTACCAACCGCTATCGAAGAGTATAGCAAAAGGTAAATGTATGTCAGGCACAAAAACCAACAACAAAAAAAACCTTTTTTTGTCATTTGTGGCGGTTTGAAACCTGAATGCTGTATACTGCCGCTGTGCTTTAAGTTCACTTGGTTGCGCAGTTGATTTGTGGGCTGTATATGAGTTGAATTGAAAACACAATTGTTTGTGAGAAGAAGAGATCGAAGTTTACTTAGAGTCGAAAATTTAAAGATAAAAAAAAAAGTTTTTGACAAAATTTCTCTCTGAGTAGTATTATTTTCTGCTTGTCATATGCTGTATTTTGCTGTGTGTGTTTTGTTTGACTGCTGTGAGCTAACAAAAGAAAATAGGCACAGTTAAACAAAACGATATAATCAGTACAAGAAAATAAGCAGCTGTAAGGTCTTCGTTATATTCTCTTCTTCTATGATTACGATGGTATGTCAAAAACAATAATAAAAAAAAACATAATACAGGAACTTACCGAACACGATCAGAAATATTTCGAACGTAGAGTGATGCTCCAGCTTGTCTTGAATATCTTGACATGACTTGTAAAATTTTATTATTTGAGAAAAGATCTCCAAAAATCTGAAAAAATATCATAAATAAGATGCAGTATTCGGAATCCCTTTCACGATGACAGGTTGCACCGACAAAAGTTAGCTATTAAATGATCTTAAATATAGACGATTAATATCTAAGAATGTAATTATTTTCTTTGTCTTTCATGTTGTTTATTTAGTCTTTATCCTTCACGTTGAAGTCTAACATAAAAAAATACATGGCGATAGCTATGAAGTTCATTCTTCGATGATTGATCAGAGAATATGAACTGAAAAGTGACATTAACGTTTTAGAGATGATTCGTTTGACAACAGACTTTTGCGTGGTAGAACCCCTACGGGTGACATCTATGGATAGATATCTGTGATAAAACATAATTAATTTGAAAGTACGGATTTTAGCGTATACCGAGTTAATGTACGACACGGTTCGTTCTTGTCAGCCGTCGATGAGCTGGCATACTAAACCGCTTACTTATTCAACGAAGTATGAACCAGTCATGGATCGATGAAAATTCACTAATCGGTTAATTAGAGTTGAAAAATATCGTAGTTTTAATTTTCACGTGTCAGTCGTCGTACTTCACGCTTGTGTTTTTTTGGAAAAAAAGTTTCTTTTCAAACGTCAGAATCGCCTCCTATTGAGTAACGTCATCTTTCATTTTCATTAATCAAGATTATACAAGAAACAATGGTGGAACTCAAAGGTCCCGGGTATACATCTCATTATTATAATAACATCTTTATTATTATTCCAGCTATTATTGTCGTTATATTAGTTGGTAAGAGACTTAGAAATATACTTCTGTACTATAAGAGACTATTTTTGAGATGAACGTTTTTAACGTTAAAAATCGTCAATGGTCTTTCTTCAATGACACTTAGTCGTAATCTTATATTAGAAAATTATAGCTCTGCAGCGAACCAAATAGGATAAGTATGATAAAAAAATGATGCCAGCGCTAGAGAAGAATAAAAATATAATTAAAAGGAATCTACTGTCGCATTCACCAAGAAATTTTGCATCTGGCGCCCAACGTTTATCCGATATGGTTCGGTGCAGAGCGAACACCTAATTTTATAATGCTAATATGTGTTTTCTAAAGCTTGCGGTTGCAATTCAGAGAATTAAGAAGAAATCTGGATGTCAAAGCGAGACGTTTAATTGCACAAATTTTTATTTTAGGTTTTGTCGCATATCGTTTAGTAAATAGTTTATTATCTAAAAAACGTCGCAAAGAAGAAAAAGCTCGATTGAAACAAGCGAAAAAATCTGAAAAACAACAGCAGCAACAACCCAAACAACAGGCATCTCCTCAAGCAAGTAATTCTCGTAAACGAAAATAGACAATGTGTTTTTTACAGAAGACAAATAATAGACACTGTATTTATATTCCGTCCCTCTACGTGCCATTTTTTTTAGAGGAAGGGCCAGTGAATAGCCACTAGCCACTAGCCAGCAGTATGTGTTGTTAATTTATTTATTTAGAAAAGAAGAAATGTATAGTTTTAGTTTGTTTTAAGGTATCAGGGTTTGGATTTTTTTATCGTTCCGAAGTAAATTCCGCTCATGTACTTACTATTGTTGTTGTTATCTTAGTATCGTTATTTGTCGATTATTTTTTGTTTCTTATTGTTTTCCGGTGTTTTGTTAATGTTCTTGTAAACGAATAATAATTGAAAAAAGTTATTGCTTTACAAAATGGAAAATGTACAAGGTACTCAATCGCATACTTTTTTTTATAAAACAACATATTAATATTTAAGTTATTTAAGAGCAATAATTTAAGAACGAAGAGTAATATAGCAGCTTGTTCGACTCTGACAAAAACTGACTTCTATACAAGTCAGTTATTTCATAATCAGTGAATACAATCACCAAAAAGGAGTTTAGAAAATTTTTGAGAAGGTGTTGATTGAGCATTCTATAGGCTCTGTTTACATACATTTTTCAAAAACTTTTAATAAGCTTTTCACAATGAAATTTTATTACACGAAAATGTCTTTGATATAAGTTTTGTATCATTCTTTCAAACAAAAAATCTCTATAATATCGGAAACATGAAGAAATAAGATATGAGTTCTGCACAGTTGTTGTTTCAATTCAAGTCAATTCAATTCATGTATTTTTGAAAAGACGGTAAACTCATGGAGAATAGTGACAAGTAATACAGTTTAATGTAGATACTGCTCACTAGTGTTAGAGAGAGAGGGAAAGACAAAAAAAATAAATTAAACAAACAAGAGAGTATAACAAAGAGAAACGAGAGAACAAAGAAAGTCTAAAAAAAACGGATACATGTTCAAGCGAAAATACAATTTTACATGCACTTTCAGCAGTTTTTCAAAAACATAGGCGTTTATTTATAGTTATGTATTTAAAGTATTGGCGCTTATTTATATTTATATATTATATACGTATATATTTATAGTTATGTTTAAATGGACTGTAGCGACAGATACGTCCTTTTTTAGGTCTTATAAATATTTTGCTTTTGATATGACTTGGTGGAGAATAACGTCAATGCGCTTATGTATAGACTTCGTACTGGGCCTCTAGTATAGTTTCTATGACAACAGTACATGCTATGTAGTAGTGAAACGAGTAAGTCTATGAAAGAACAAGAGAGAGAAAAAGTTATTCAACTTTTCAAAAACTATTTGTAATGGACGACACTATAAAGACTTTAACTTATATAAATCAGTTTGAGAATACCGAATACGGAAAAAATCTGCTTGTCCATGCTCAAGTTCGTATACCTTAGACACTAAACGTTCTGTATCAGAAATTCTGTATGTTCTGTTTGTTTGCTTTATAAACAGAAGATTCTTAGTTCTTCATCAAGTAAATTAGCAACAGGAAATATTCAGAATCAATTTAGTCAACTTTTAAATTTAATCAAAAATACCGGTAAGGGTGATTCTCGGATATGTTAATCATAGATATCTGTGTTTGATAATTTCTTATATTTAGATGAATTTCAGACGTATCGAAACGCTTTACAAACAGCAAAAAACGTTAAACAACGATCGGAACAATCCCAAATATCGTATTTAAATAAAGGACAGGTGTGTGATAGACTAAGAGTCAGTCATTAACGAATTATATTTCTTTCTCTTTTATAGTCTGCATGGGAAAAACGTATCGTCAAATCGTTGAATACAATGTGCAGTGAATTAAATATGAGTTTAGCAAAACAGGTTTGTGCAATTTACGGTAGAGTTTTTTACTATTAAATAAAAATGCTTTATCCTCTTTTTTCGAAAAGTGTAGAGAAATGAAACGGAAATGCGTGCAGTTAAACGTCATTGGAATGAACTAGGACATATTTGTACAGGTAAATTTTGAAGTACTAGTAATTAAACCCTTTAACTACTCATTTGTTTATTTTATGAATAGATTTAAACCGTTTTCGACCAGTTTATTCAGCAAAAGATTTTCTTGATGTTATAACAGGATTACAGAATCCAAATTTGAAAATTGATGAAACATTGTGGAAGTATGCATCTTTTCATTTTCGTAAAGCGTTAAGTCTTTTATTTGGTTCTATTGTATTCCGTCGTTGCTTTAGTGTTGGTTTGATAAAAGTACCATTGGTGACAAAAACATTGTTAGAAATCGTACGCACAAGAAATAACTTTAAAATTGTTGAATAACAATGTAATAATTTTTTAGAAATTTCAATACAAAGATATTACAACGTATACACCACAATATTGTTCAGATGAAAGCATTTTAATTGAAGATGAAAATGTCCGATATGCAACTCAAAGTAAGGCTGTGGTACTGGTACTGGCGTTTACCGCTAGGATATATTATACATGCGTTAATTAAAAAAATAGAAGTACGCATTTTACTATAGGAAGTTCATGTTTCCTAAGAGATTGAATTTACGATGAGAGATAAGGATTCATCAAACTCACATCCCAGACTTTTTGGACTTTTAATTTATGTAACCAAAAAAAAATATTAAGGCACATGAAAGAAAAATATGCAAAACTGCAAAAACTTGGAGACAGAAAATTATTGTAGTAGAGGCTGTCAAACATGAGTCTTTTGAAGAAACAACAAAATAATAATAACAATAAATGGAGAAAAGTGAAAAAATAAAAACAAAACAAAGTAGACGATCGGGCGTATTCTGTATAAACTAGATCTTTAAATACAGTTTCAAAATGCGTTTAGGGATGATTGAAACTACTTGGTCAAGCCCCATAAATTTCCAATTGCCGGAAGGAAGACTTTATAGTGGAAAAATATGTAAATGGTATGTTGATTGCTTGTGCATGGCTTTAGGCATCCACCAAGCTCAAGCTTTGTCTTGATACTCGAGCTTAACTCAAGCTTATGTCAAGCTCAAGCAGCTTGACCTTGATTTATGCCTAGCTATTGTTGTCGACAGATCGCGATATTAGAGGAGACGTATATCGAGAAGGGTCAAAAAGAATCAATCAGACCATGATATTTTATAGGGAAGAAGTCGAAAAAATTCATTTATAGCATACTCTAAAAAAAGATGCGACTTAGGATCACATTAAATCGCATGAATATGCCTTATTCCGTGAAAGTAAGGCATATTAATGCGACTTAATTTGATCCTAAGTCGCATCTTTTTTTAGAGTGCATCCAGTATCCTATGACATGACTGTGAGACCTCGTTCACGTTGACCGACAATTTAAGATTGGAACTAAATGTGGCACTGGGAAGCGTGCACGTGCCCAGAGGGAGAGACTGGGGATCAATTCCCTCCCTCTGAAAAAATGTGTCCGTATTTATTCGTAATTTTGCTATACCTGAAAAATCAAAGATAAGAATTATAAGAAAACGAAGAGACCGCATGAATGAAGCCCGCTGAATGAAAAAATTTTGATCTCCTCCTGCCAAAAATTCTGAGCAGGTGCCTGCCGAGAAATCTGTCCATGAAGAATTGTTACAACTAAAATGCAAAAGTCTGGTGAATTTGAGAGTTGTAAATGCATAAGGTTTGGTACATCCCTACTGAGGATAGACGTGTCTAAAGCATAGTGAAGACTTGGTTTAACATAATTAAGAATTTATTAAGAATAAATCTATTTATTAAGTTCTTAGAGTTTCAAAAACTTTCGTCTATAGTTTCGCAGTCTATTGATCGTAACTATGGTATTTAAATTTTAGTTATTGAAAAAAAGAAAAGTTCTGATGCACATACTTATTCAAAACGTGGTTGTCCAACAAGTTTACGTGGAAAATTATGGTGTATGATGTTAGATGTGAATTTAGATAATTGGGTAAGTCAAATTTGATTCCAGATAGCAAATGAATTTTATAAAATCTAACTTTGTTCAGCATTTGGCTTATTTTAATTATTTGAAACAAAACGTTATTGAATACGATCTTTTGGTGGATTATCTATACTTCAAGGTAAGCACAGGTGAAAAGCGTAATCTACACCATAGACTTTAATATACAAAACTTGAGAGTAGTCCCTCGTTCATGCTAAAGATGAACAATACTGTAATTAAATTAAAAGCTCAATCGAAAAGTCAGTACGTATATATCACACTTTTCGCGAAAGTCCGAGTGCTATTCAACAAAAATGAGTCAACCTTTCAATTTATTCTAGGACGTGAAACTAACAGCTGTGAATGATGATCAACTGTTCGTATTTGAGGATTTCTTGTATCAAGTATGTTGACCAAGACTATATAGAAAGAATATATGATTTTCTAACATATTCTCTTGTCTAGGTCTTATTATTATTTTCTCGTGACACATCTGTTCAAGCATGTTTCGAACATTCAGGTTGTCAAGCACCAAAATCATTTATTAAAAAAAAACTTGGTGCTGATGAATGTGCTGTAGTATATCCACCAAATGGGATTATACCATTTCATGGTTTTTCAATGTTAGGTAGTCACCTTCGGCATTTTAAAAAAAGAACATTCAAAAATCATATATATATATTCTCATACTAGATACTTTTTGTTGTTTTAGTTGCTCCAATGTGTTTTGTTTATGAAGATCCAATATTACTATATTTTGTATTTCATAAGTTGTATATGACACATTTTTTCAAATTACATCATGTATCAGCTGATCCAAAGGTAAATACACACGTTTGTTTATCATAACTGATGAGAAGTTTCAGATAGAGTTTTTTTGTTCCATTAGCTTAATGCCCAATTTTGATATGAATCATAGTTACAGTTTAGTTTATATTGCAGTCAACAATAAATAATGATATGTAAAAAAATGTTTAGGGTATTGTTGGTTTATGTGTTTTATTTGAATGTTTGATGCGTCAAGTATCACCTGAATTATATTTTCATTTACAAAATTCTCAAATTCAACCGTAAGTTTATCGATTGAGAGGAAAAGTACACAATGTTAACATTTATTTTATCTGTTTAGTTTAAGAATAGCATTCAAATGGATCATGCGTGCATTTTCCGGTTATCTGGCATGCTCACAATTGTTAGCATTGTGGGATAGAATATTAGCGTATGAATCATTGGAGATAGTTGCTGGTAAATAGAATAGAATAGAGATATCTTTCTCTTGCTATGACAAAGTTCTAATATTTATTCTAGTGTTAGCTGTTGCCATATTTATTTTAAGAAAACACAATGTGTTGGCGGTTACATCAGAATCGGCTGTTGAAGTAAGAAACTATATCTGAAAATTTGCCTAGACAAAATTAGGATTTCGTAAGACGATAATCTTATCAGCGTAAAAATAAATCCTTCATAGGAATTTTGAAAGTATCTCCCTACTTTTTTCACCCTGTTGGCAAAGGTCCGATAGAGCTGAGATTTTTACCAGAGATAGTTCAGATTTTATCTCATACTCTAAATTTTGTTTTCGAGAAATATACTTTCCTTCTCAAAATGTTCAAAAAATGCTGAAAATTCTATGTAAAAAGTTGTTTTTTTCTTTATTTTAAAACCCTTCTCACGACACAAATTGAAGTTGAAAACGAAGGATCGTAGTGTGACTGGATTGGAATCACTAGTATTTTGAGTTTTACAGATGGTATTAGATAGATCACCCGTTTGCGATGATCTTCATATCTAATACCCAAAGTCATTGGAAAATTTTTGAAGATACTAGAAATGAAGGAGAAATTGACAGAATTAAAAAATTGAGTTGAATCAGCCTCTTGGACAAAAATTTAAAAAATTAATAACTTTTTCAAAAAAGATCGTGGAATGTTAGGAATATTTTGTAGCCCAGACTCTCCTCTACATTAGACTCTGTTCAACTCACAATCAAAAATTTTGCAAAAAAAGACGGGGGAGGATTTCCTTAATAACACTGAAGTGTCACTCCAATTACTGATAGATCTAGTTATCGAGTGGTAATTGCTTCCTGTTATCTATTAACCATGATCATTTCGAAAAATAGACCTACCAATTGCATTAAAATAGGTTGCTTCTACTATTAGAATGAATTTACTCTATCATGCCCATTATAACAATTGAGGGAAAAGAGGAGAGAAGATGGGCGGACTACGGAAAATAAATTTCAAGCAGGATTGCCAAATCTTCTGATTTATCAAAATTTTTCCGATTGTAAGCTTCTTTTCGAATTGAATTTTGATGTTCGTAAAAAGAATTCAGTTGATTAACATGACGTCATAAAGCTTTTTTTTCATTTTTCACGTGTGTCACATATTTGATTGATATTAATTATAAACAGTTTTATAATTTAATTCTATCTAAACCAGATATATTAAAAGCAGAGTACATAGTCAACAAAATCCACACATATAGCAAAAAATCTATGAATTCAATTAGACGTAGGATGTTTTTGTTTTAATTTGTTTAACAGTTTATTGTTCTAAGTGGGTGAATGGTTAAAAAAAGAATCACAAAAGAAAACAGTCAATGTTTGACATATTTTTGATTTTTGTAACTGTTACTGAATGTGGTTTTTTCTGTGGGAAAAAAGAAAAAAAGCGTGTTGCTCGAGCAAAAACAGCTGTTATCTTTAGCTTGTTAAAGTATTCTGAAAGACATGGTTCTTCCAATTTTCAATATTTTTTCTTTTCGACTTTTTCCGATTTTAACGGATTTTTTTTCGAACTATGGATACAGTTAACACCTCTGATTTCAAAATATTTGTGAACAGTCTGTATGTTTATTGAAACCGATATGAAAAGTTGCTCTATGTTTCTATTTTTAGGCAATATTTTCTGATATATCATCGATCAAAGTTATACCATTATTACAATTTTTTCTATCATGAAAATTTTTTTACTTTTTCTGTATATAACAAAAGTATTATGAAATATATTTACGAGAATATAGTGATTACACTTAACTGTTTTTGTTACTTATTAGACATTTTTATACATTCAAAATTTGTATTGTAAAACATATACCTATTCAAGTTTGATGGATAAATTATATCTGTATGTTTAACATCAAACAACATTGTTCAAATATATCATCGAACATGTTTCTGAATTTTACAGTTGACCTTATTTAATAACCACAATAGTTAATTTAAACTTCTTTATTTCTTACAACAAATCGAGCTAGCCTATTACATGTTGTTAGAGTTGAAAGATCTAGTAGATAATTAGAAGTAAAACATAGAATCAAAGAAGAAAACAAACGGGAGTAAAAGAACGACAAAGGAGATGTCCGATGCAAAGATTTGATTTAGAGAAGCGAGATCAGTGGAAATGTTCAATTACAAAAACAAATTTCAAAAATAAGTATGCAAAAAGATACAGTACTACAAAGGATGAATAATTTTTAAATACACATCAGCTATAGCTAAAGCGCTCTATCTCCCTAATTAATATTAAAATAGAACTAAACAAATCGTTTATTTGACTTTTTGACAAACAGAGAATTAACTGGTGCTTAAATAAAAGATGATCAAGAGATAGTATGTTAGTTAAATTAATAAGATTTATCCTTTGTGAATTATAATTAGTACAGAAGAGAAAAAAAAATACATAGCGTTTTCATGTTGATGAACACATGCACATGATGGAGTAGGTACTACATTCTATTTAAAAGATTTTACCACGAACGACTCTTTCCTTTTACATTTGAAAAGAGAAGAATCAGTGACAAGAAAAATGTTTTTTGTGCACGGTTTTTTCCGGAATTGTGCACGGTTTGCTATTTTCCGTGCGAAATGATCGAAAATGGAATGGAACTGTGAAATATCAGATAAAAATAATTATTTTTCTTTTCTTTCAAAGTGTCTTGATTTACACTTGTGACACAACAGTACACCCACAGACTGAAAAGCTGTTTTCTTTTCTCTTTGAAATAATTTTTTCTTAGGTTATAAATTTCTATCACCAATTTCTTTGCCACTTCCCACACTCTATTCTGTAGATGTCAAAAGCGGTTGTCGTATATTCTCCGCGGTGAATAACTTTGCGACAAAGTTTTGTCTTATAGCATCTATAGCATTATCTCTTTTCTGATATATGGCTTGTCCGAAGGTAACGCTGTGAGATTTTTGACACAATAGCTTGCATTTTTCTCGAAAACTGTAGGAGCTAGAAAGTTCGCTCCTGATACCATTCGATCCAGATCATCAAACTCTACTTACGATATAAAAATGAAGATTTTCAGTTCAAGACTCGAGCTTCCAGAAAGATTTTTCGGTGAGTAACGCTCTGACCGAAAATTTTCGTTTTTTTTTTTTGAGAACTTCAGATACAGCTCTGATTTCTCCCAAATGGAGCTGTGCATCTGAAAAGTTTCTAGCAGCAAGTTTGTAGATGAGCTAACGAGCTTTCTTTTGGTAAAAAACCTTCTTTCCAAACCTTTCCGCACGCCTAGAAAGTCGCTTTTGTAAAGTAACGCTATGACATTTTGGGTAACGCTGTGACACTTTTTTGCCGCATCATTTTTAGGCACTAAACATTCTTCAAAAAACTTCATACTTGTAGTCTGTATAGTTCTAGGTTTCCTGAAAAGACTCCAGTTGAAAATAAAGTTCGAAAAGTTCGAATTCTCTCAAGCTTTTTTTTGAAAAAAGACCAACGTGGAAGTTGAAACGTTCAAGCAGCCACTGTGTCTTGACTGAAAAATAGATCTCAGAACAAAATGAGCTATTTTGTAGAGAATTGAATTCTCTATTCAATGGTATGTTTTTAAAATTTTTTGAATAAAATGTCTAGATCAGAAAATTGAAATTAAAATTTTTATATTGAAAATTAATTTTTTCTTCAAAAAAAAGGTCAGATTCGTGATCAGCATGAAAAACCGTCTAGTGATGTGCTTCTATCCATTTTCCGATGAAAACAAATTCAAAAAGAACTTGACCAGTGAAGCACGTGGAATATATGCACGTGGACAAGCCGTGCACTAAAAGACCTTTTCTGACATTTTTGTGCACGGTTACGGAAACATGCACGGAGATGTTTTTGTGCACGGGTTTTCAACGAGTAGGAGTTCTTTCGTTTTACATGCAGATGACCTAAACAAATAAGATGATCTACGAACAGACATCGCGTTTAATACAAAGGAGACTTACTGACTGAAATGTATGATAAATTTTGAAAACTGGTGTAGAATGAAGTTCATCTCTTTGAGAATTAATTCAACCCTCACAGTGGTTGTATTTTGCACGACTTGTTAGTATGCCGGTGAGGGTGAGGGTGACTTAACTATTAACTAAAACTTAACTATTTTCCAGTTTTGATCTGATATTCACGATCAGCATCAAATTCTGCGTCGAATAAAGTATCTTTAGAAAAATTCTGAGTAAAAACGTTTTTCGATGTTCTAAAGGCGGGTGGGATACGGGCTTCAAATTTTCCGAAAAAATGAAAATGGTTTTTCCAAGGTGTCATATACCCCATTCGACGCAGAATTTCACGCTGATTCTGAATATATAACTCTTGTTCAGAAATATCAAGGGAAAATTTTGACCCTTATAAGCCCCCGTCGTTTCTACCTTTAAAAATCTTATGAATAGTAAAAGATTTGTCTGTTTTTCTCTATATAATTAAAAAATTGTAGATAGAGATCTTCCTAGAAGAATATCGAGTATAACAAGTGTCTCAGGTATGCTTGTATAATGTCAAACAGCATACTAGAAGTGATTATTAGGATAATATTTATTTGAAGGAGAACAAAAGTACATGACAAAAATATACCAATAAAAATAGAATAATTTTTGATATGTTGTATGTTTATTTATAAATCATATTTTCCATCTTCATAGTTATAATTATTATTTTTAGTATTCTGATATGTCTGTGTTTTTAAATTGACCGAATGGGATAGACTACGTTTGTCTTCTTCCACTGAACGATTTTGATTATTACGATTTTGTTTTGTTAATAATTTTGTTGTTACACAATTATTTGTCATATGATTTTGTGAAAGAAATAGACGATGACAATATTGTGGTAATATGAGATGATACATTTCTAAACGAAATTGTTGACTCATTGAACAATACATAATAAATGTAATAAAACTTGATGCTATACTTGATAAATCTAAAATATCACCTAATAGACTATAAAGTAAAAAAAACTTTTTTTCGACTGCACTAGCAATAAATAATAGACCTTGTGGTGCTTCGACCAATACTGTAAATACTGTAATAAATACTAACATTGTTGTAGTACGTAATTCACGAGTAAAATTACCCATTGATGACGAATAACGACGTTTTTTTGATCGTTGTTGAAGTCGTTGACGAAGTTTTTGGGCACTATGAATAGAATGTATAAGTAAAAGACTAAATGTAATGAGAATACAAACAGGTAAAATTTTAAGAAATATGGCCGATATATTAAATGAAACACGTTCAAGTTTTTTTCCCGTTGCATTACTAAACCAATAGACAGTTACTGATGAATTAAGACTATAAATATCCGGATAATGAATTGAAGCAGGCTGTTTAACCACCGTCCATATCAAATAATTTGGTATCATTAAAAAACAAATAACAATAATACAAGACCATATCAAGTACATTACTTTACGAGAATTTAATGTTGATTTATTTGGTTGACTGACAATAAAATACCGAACCTAAAATTGAGTAATTTTAGTCTTAATATACGATGTCGAAATTGATAAAAGAGAAAATTGATTGAAAACTAATTAAGTGCGGCATAGCGTAGTTAGTGCCATATACTAGACATTCTTGGCTTGACAGGCAAACATTTCATCCTTTTCTTATTAAAAACTGTTTCTTATTGTTGTTCAGTTTAATTTGACTCTGTATATCTCATAATGTCTTTTTCAACAAAAATCAATCAAGTTTGAAAAACAAAGCTTTTCAGTTAAAATTGACTAAAGAAACCTGTGCGTGAAATTATGACATAGCTGTCCTAATATGGAACCTGTTTATAAATAAAGTATGCCTTTTTTCTATGATTTTTTGACTTCAAAACTTTTTGTTTCTAAATTGTTTGTGTTATACATCATTCGGTGCAATTTGAGAAGCTGATTCCAAATACGATATTTCTTTTAGTTAAAGAATCACCTACAAAATGAAAGGTTTCGCGACTCTAAATAGTTTTTCATAGGCCATTTATAACAATTTTCGTGGAAGTCGTAACATTGGTTTTTAACTGGTGCATGCCTAATCAACATAACTATAAAATGGGGAGGCCAATTTTTATCACAGATAGACAATCGACAAGAAAATCGATTTATTTTTGTTGTTCAGACTCCTTTGGCATGTTCTTCTATGTTTTTTCTTGAGAACCCAGTCATCTCTGTTACATCACCTCGAAAAAAATAATGCAATTGAGTCAAACTTTTTATCACAGAACCTTTAGACTCTATTTCAAGTCATTTAATAAAGTCACCGTTTTTAATGATCATTGTTCATCTCATTTATCAATCGATAAACTACTGATGAATTTTTATTCACTTCCGAGATTAGCATATTTAGCTTTCATATTCGGAGACATGCCAAATAGAGAAAAATGGAAAAAGCACTATCTACTGTTTGTTTATCAAGAATATATCTGTCAAATAAATCATAACAATCTGCAGAAAAGTTAAAGTTTGTAAAACAACCATTTCCTGCTAAGAAGTGTTTTTTTTTTGTCTTGTTCTATTTGTTCAGAAGTGTTTTTTAAACAAAATAAAGATTGTTTAAATATATTTCCTCTCTTTCGTTCTGTTACAATATGTTTTGTGGATAAAAACGCGATCAACAAAAATTAGTTTTTATGCAATCAATAGAATTTTTTTATTGATTTTCAATCTGTGGATTGAATACAGATTGCGCATATCTGATTGTCTATCCTGCAGTAAAATCAGTAATCCGTTGTAACGTTCCAGATTGGTATCTTGCTATGATGAACCGTACACTCTTTTATTAGAACCTGAAGTATCCAGACAGAAAAGAGTGAGTAAGGAAATTTAGCTTATCAAATAACTCACTCGCTTAATCGTAGATTTTTTGGGTCAAACAGCTAGCTGCACCGAGCAAGTGCCCACACTGTAAAGAATAATTACGGTAAAAAGTGAAAAAAAGCAAAAAACTGCAGGATCCACAATATTCCGCATCGTGATGTTTATTCTGGGATATTTTACTATATTATGAGCAAAATTTTAGCAGAATGCCCATTATGTCTCACAATATGCCACAATTTCGCGAAAAATTATAAACTGTCACAGCAATTTGCACGATTGTGAGACATAATGAGAATTTTACTAAAATTTTGTTCACAATATGGTAAAATATCTCAGAATAAACATCACGGTGCGGAATATTGTGGATTTTGCATTTTGCTGCTTTTTTTCACTTTTTACTGTAATTATTTTTTTACAGTGCACTTGCTAGCTGCAAGCGGCCGATTTAGTGGGCGTTTCATTGAGCGATTAGAGCGCTGAATTCATCAGCTAGCTTCAACTCACTTAAACTAGCTTTGACAGGTTTAAAAATTGGGTCAGATAGCTGCAAGCGGCCACTTCAAGATTTATTTTTTACTTGGGTAAAGCAATAGTTTTTGTGGTTTAAATTTGAACTAATATATTCATATTTGTAATAACTACAGAAAAACTGATCATCTCTAATTTGAAAATACAAATGCTGTATGACTTAGTTCTTCTAGTTTTTATTAATAGCCTAGAAGGCATGAAAAGAGTCCATTATATGATTTAAATAGATCTTTGATGAGCACAACGGAAATACATACTTCAAACGACTAAGTAGTCATAGATAAATATGAGAATGTGCATGTTAGAGTACATCATCAAGTGTAATTTATAAACACTTATAACATGTCAGTTTGACACATCTTAAATATTGAGAATTCTTTCCATTTTACTGATGCGTTTGCCAATGAGATTCTAGTTGGGTGGGAGTTTTGCTCGTCATGGTCGTTTATGAGATACGTCATGTTTATTTCGAATGGATCGTTTCAAAATCTTGAAAAAGAATTACAAAAGATTCATGCAGCATTTTAAACTGGTATGGTCAGAAGACTTTGTTTCTTCTTTCAACTGTGTGACACACAAACTATCGTTACACATCTTCCAGATAAACAGAGTGGAGCAAAAACTATCCGCTATCTTAAGGTACAAAAATGAGGTCCGTCTCTGAAATTGATCATTTTTCTTCTCCAATTACGTTATCATACCTTGCAAATCAAACTTCACCCGAAGTCACTCTAAATATGGACGTAATAAAAGGTAATTTCTTCCATTGTGCGTATATTTAAATTTAACTTTTACTGGTTGTCTCCAATGTTTTTATGAATAGCAGCTATTGCTGATTTACGAAACCTCGCACAGAAAAGCTACTGAATCGGTTACTTCAGTAGAAAATAAACAAACAATCAAGATCAGGGATAACAGATCGAAAGCAAGAAAATAAAAGCCCAAAATCAGACGATCAGTAGATCTTTGAACAAAAACGAGCAGGAACAAAGTTCCAAAAATTAGAAATTTCCTGTCAAAATTAGAGAATTTAGGATCCGTGCTCAAGATAGACCAAAGTAAGAAAGCAAATAGTTTTCGCTCCGCTCTATTTATCTGTAAGAGGTGAAACGATAGATTGTGTGTCACACAATTGGTTAACACCATCGAGAAGAAACAAATTCTTCTGACCATACCAGTTTAAAAAGCTGTACGAATCTTTTGTAATTTTTTTTCAAGATTTTGAAACGATCCGTTCGAAATGTATACGGTATATAATCTTTTTTTGTAGTAAGTATGACTAGTTTACTTACGATGTCCAACAAACATGTTAACCATAGTGCAATGGAGTGTGCGGTGAGTCCAACATTTGAATGAAATAAGGCAAAACTTGGCCAAAATCTTGATTGTCCCACAAATGGCTTAGGCGTATGTAAAATATAAAAGTAAAATGAAAATATATTGTATGATATAAGAACGATTAAATCAAATAAAGCGATATGTTGCAAGATTAAATTTGTTGGAGTTTGAAAGTGTTTTCGATTTAGAATAACGATTGTAACGATACTCGTGATGATACCAAATATTGTTAATGGAAACACAATTCGACCGTGAATAAGAGAATAATATTCACCAAATTTAGCTAATACGCTAAATGGTGATGACGGAGAAGTTGATGATGGGAAGAATATGTCCGGTGCTACTGTGATAGTGGATGATAAAGAATTGGACATAATTTATTCAATCATTATTGTTTAAGTGTGATCTTAAAAAGTAATAAAAAAGTTATGAAAAAGAAAAAAGTTATTAGTTAAGACAGAAATTCTCCAGGCATCATATAATAAAACTATTCAAACAAGAAAATAGAATTAAACGGATAGAATTTTTCAATGCCTGTTGGTAACATACATGACTGATAATAGAAACCTATTCATAAATAAAAGTTTAATATGTTGAATCCGATAGACGGAGGCGATACCGCATTTTTGAGACAACAATGACCAACGTGTAATTTTTATATTCGCTGGTTGTAGAGGAAATTCGGATCTATAGGAGAAAAAATGGAAACGTTATACTGAAGATAATTTATGGGAAGTTTTACTTCCTCTCCATTTGAAGGTATGCAGTTAATTAGAATTTTTCTGGAAATCGTCAAGTAAACATGCCAGAATCTAGAAGTCTCCGATTACTTCTGTTCATCCAAAAGTTTGTATAACAACAGACTTCAATTTAAGGTTGAAGTATGTGGATACATTTAAAACCTACAACTAAATAATTTTTCTCGTTTTCTCCCATAGAAAAGCGTGGATAAATTTTCAAAATTTTACTGTACAAAATTGTCTTTGACGCTGGAATAGATATTTCATCACTCTGGTGAATGTAATTGACGATAGGTACTCGACTACATGCATTTTTCTTAGGTACCTATGCGGGAACCCTTCTACTTGAAAGTCATAGGTGCTTAAATTTTTTTCAAGTAAATATTACTTGAGAGGTATCCAGTTACTTGCGCTGGACGCAACATAGGTACCAATTTTTTTTCCATTCACCGTTTTATTTCGCATTCAGACATATATAAAAAGAAAACATATGTTATGTACAAGAATGATGTACGTTCACACGATCATTTAAAATGGTTGGCCATTTAGGTACCCGTCAAATAATATTTTACTTGCAAGCACCTATGATATTCTTGTAGCAGGATACCTAACTCAAGTATCTATATTTAAGTATATTCACTAGGGCAAATACCGATAAATAACCGTTGTTATTTTTATAGACCAATGAACACAAACACATTTTTTTTTGTTAAGCAGAGACTCTTCTTCAAAGAATTGATTTAGAGATTTCTGAATATTTTTATAAAAGTTGCAAGAAACAAAATTGGCAAACACTACTGCTGTTCTCACTCTCATTGATTCTTTTTTTGAATGTGTAGATTTATAGAGCAGATCCTTCTTGTCAAAATCGCACTTAACACAACTCTGTATGTAAGTGGAACTTATGAACATTTTCTTTCAGTCCCAAAGTACATTAATAAGTACGCCGTATTCTTTTCTTGCTAACCATTTTAGCACCACAATTACATATAGAAACTGAACAACTTTTGAAATTTTCTTTCATTCAAAAGAAGACTACTTATCTTTAAACAACTCTATCTGCCAACTTGACATGCGTACCTACAGACAATGAAAAGGTATTCAATGATCATCTATGTTAATTTATTGAAGATACAGATGTCTAGCTCAGTAGAAAGTAAAGCCGCTTCTGCAGTTTAATCCTTGATCCAACTATAATTCTTGAACTAATTAACCTTTCGAACTAAACATTTATAATAAAATCTTCACAGTAGATTCGTCAATCTGTAAAACTTTCATCCAAATCGATTAAAAAAATGTAGAAAACAGTTTTTTTTAAGGAAACCACCTTAATTAATTTCACTACTGCTCGACTAATTTTGCGTGATAGATAAACACATAGAAGAAAGTATAATGTAAACTATACACTTTTATTCAAAAGAGGAAAAAATTTGTCTCTATATTTTCTATATGTAATATTTTCACAACTAAAAGTATTTGTTTTTCCGAAAGAAATCAAGTTTACACACAAACAGACAAGGAAAATGTGTGTGTCTAATGAACTATAAAATAGTATTTTTTAAATTACCACTCTTACTTCTAAGATTTTAACTAATGGCATAGACAGTAGATAAAATGGAATAGGGCGTTATCCTTATACTAAATATTATTGCTCATCCTATTATTAAAAAACTGTGACAGAGCATTATCAAGAACAAAATATGTTAAAATATGTAATCGTGATTATTATTCGACAACTTTAGCTTTTGACCGTGATAATAATCTCGATTTTGAGAGAGTTGAAATTTGGAAAGAAATAGAAGATTAAAGAGTGGATTTGTCTTACTTAACGAATACATAAAATTTAGAATGTTATTCATATCGTCATGGCTTAGAAGTGGGCCAAAAGTTCGATCGCCTATAGATTATGCTCGAATGTTGATCCTAATAAATGATTAAAAATCAATTTTAAATTAATAAATATAAAAAATAGGCTTGAGATATCTTCTCCCTTACAACGTTCGGTTCAGCGTCCACCTGGTAAAGAAATATGGCTGTACCACTGATACTGTTCTCAAAATAAAAAATAACGTCTTTTTAAAATGATTAGCAGAACATTTACAAACTATATAATCAGAAACAAGAAAACTTAAATACGATTATAACTGCTAGATCACGCACACACATATACACACACACACACACACACTCTCTAATAGAGAAAAATCTCCAAAAATATTTGATAGATTTGTCAACGATAAATGAGTATTTACCAATCATTAAGATTTTCATTGATTCAAAAAACATTCAATATATCTAAAAAAATTAGAAAATTTTTCATGAATAATGGTGCAGACATAGAAGAACGTTTCGTATGAAGGTTATGTCTATAATAGATCTGTACCACTGAGAGAATTAATCCAAGACAAATGGAATCTATTTTATTCTACTTTTTTTTTCTTGCTTTTTCTGCCTCTCATTTTCTTATATTTTTTTCTTTTATTTTTCTCTATTTTTAAGTTAATTGACAACAGTTCAACACAGAATAGAAATATTCCAGATATCAGTATTATTTTTATTAATATTATCATTATCGGAGAAAAAAAAAATGTTCTCTTCTAATTATATAAATCCACCAACATATAAATGATTTGTTCTCACAACATACATACATCAATATAGTCTACCTGAAATATAGATTATACAAAATCGCTTTTTTGGTTTTAAATACTTATCAATATTTCCAAAACAATGAATATAAAGAAAAAACAAAAATTGTTTCATTACTCTATTTTGTTTCTCATTCATGATAATAAGTGTTCAATATATAGATATTTGTAATAAATATAATAGTACGTCATACATACACATATATACAAAAAATAAGACTATATCTACTCACACATCACATAGTAATAGTAACATTATATTCTAAGCATTTTATTAATACAAATAATAAGTTACATTTGAACGTATCTTTCTCGTTTTCTCACATGATTTTTAATTTACGGTGGATTTAAATAATTTAATTTAATATCATCATCAATGAGATCTCTCTTGTACTGGGAAGGAA